TTAAAATTATTATGGGTATATAATAGTTGTATATCTTTATAGGGTACGTGTGATGTTTTGATACAGTCATGCAAAGTGAATTAACCAAATCAGGTAATTGGGGTATCCATCACCTCAGGCATTTAACATTAATGACTGTATACAATTTTTTTTTTTTTTTTTCCCGAGACAGAGTCTCACTCTGTCCCCTGGACTAGAGTGCTGAAGTATCAGCCTAGCTCACAGCAATCTCAAACTCCTGGGCTCAAATGATCCTCCTGCCTCAACCTCCCCACTACAGGCGCCCATGCCTGGCTAATTTTTCTATTTTTAGTAGAGATGGGTCTGGCTTTTGCTCAGGATGGTCTTGAATTCTTGACCTCAGGTGATCCTCCCCTGGCCTCCCAGAGTGCTAGGATTATAGGCATGAGTCACCGCACCAGGCTTTGTATACATTTTTAAAAGTCTGAAAACTGCACATCAAGAAGGTGAATTTTACTGTCTGCAGTATTGTTTACTGTTGCTGTGTTTCCAGTAAACAGGGCCAAAAAAAAATAATAATAATAAGATTAGGCTGAACTCTGAGTAGAGTTGGCATAGCATGGTAAGTATTAATTTCCGTAAGTTATTAATTTCCTGTAGCTCCTTTGCTGGTTTTACTGTGTATTTTGTCAGTGCTGGAAGGATCAGGATGTATAGGAGGACTGCTGAGTGCGGAGAAGGGAACCTCATAGTCCAGGGGCCCCCCACGGTCGAGTCTTGGCTCTGATCTGCGTATCACACCGTTAACAGCCTTTGCTTACCACTCTAGCTCATTTCCTTACTGCCCAGCTCTGAAAGCTAAACTCCTGCGTCATGAACTGCATTTCCCAACTTAATCTCTTCCCGTTAGATCTCGCATCTCTTTGCTAAAACAGCCTTTTTCTCTTCTCCTTTCTTCTCTTCCCATCTACAGTCATCCTTTGGTATAGACGGGGAGATTGGTTCCAGGACCTCCGGGTAGGGTATGCCCAGATCTGCGCATACTCAAGTCCCCAGGTCAGCCTTGAGGAACCGGCTTGGAGGAAAAGTCAGCCCTCTGTATGGCAGCGTAACACTGTATTTTCGATCCGCGTTTTAGTTGAAAAAAATCCGCACAGACCCGCACAATTCAAACCCGTGTTGTGCCAGGGTCGACTCTGCTTGGTCTGTCTCCTCTAGGAAGTTGCTTCTAAGCCCTCCCAGGTCTCCTCCAGGGAGGGAGCTATCTT